TTGAATTTCACATAGCCTTGCTTTCCCAAAAGTTGTTCTCATCCAGGGTGGACTGCAGTTTCGACCTCGAGTCGGTCTTATCAACACCCCAAGCGTGAGTCGAAGCAGGTAGGTAGGTATAACAATCTGATTAATAGGCGTTATTATGGCAATTTGGTTAAAAAACAATTTCAACATGGCAGCAGAGGATGTGTTAAAAGATAGTAAAGTCCCAGAATCGACTCAGTAACGAAGCATTCCACTAAAAAAGAAATCAAAGATAAAATGCTACACATACAACGCCAAAATAATTAAATGAAATAAGCCATACATCTCATTAATTTCGTCAATAGATTTAATGAATGAGATGGCGCTGGATTGCTCACCTGCAGTGCAAATGTAACATGTATCAAGACCTCTCGAGGTTTCGCCTCAAGATGCGCCATCTTGGAGGCCGCAGAGCTGTTGGAATTCAGAGTGTCATGAGCCTCTGATGAATGCCGAGGAAAACCGCTCTGACGAGAGCCTGACAATCCGTCTCCGGAGCAATCTGGAAATGTCGAGGGTTCTCCACTAGATATTTGACCTTGAGAGAGTGATTTTGGTTGTGCAGGAGCAAGCTTTTCAGCCGTCAGATTGGCTGATGCTAATGGGGTTTCGGCTGCCGCAACTGCAGCTGCAGCCTGTTCAATAGCCTCAGCAACGGCATCCTCAACGCGAACACGCACAATGCAGACGGATCCAGCCTGTCGATTATCCTGAGCAGGCTCAGAAAAACGTCGACGTTGAAATAATTGGAGTTGACCACTTCCAGCTCGGCTCAGAAAGAAGCCATCAACCGAGCCGGAAGATGAAAGATGAGAAATAGCGCTGGAAGATAAAGGCCAGAGGGCGAAAAAGAAAGAGAATGTATATAATTGCAGAACATAATTTAATCCTAGTGGCTACAATTACACAGGTTTCTGAATGAAAAAAGAGAGCAATCTGAGAAAGCCCCAATAAGCTTAATTTAAAATTACGTCTCCGGGATAAACGGACTGCATTGCCATAATGAAAGGAAATACGCACAAAATAATCCAGATAAGCCATCTTATATTCAAGCAACCTTTTGTAGATGCTAACTAAAAGAGATTAGAAGACACGATAATCTTTACAACACATGATCAACCTCACCAAATATTAGAAAACATATCTCAAATAGCAATGTAAGTATCATAAATAAGATTGTTTAGTTTGTCTTATAAAATTAGGGCTGAGCTGATATAGGGTGGTTGAAGAAACGCACAGTAATAAGCAGTGTTTGCAGTTTGAACATCAAAAATGTACATTGTAAATACGAAGAGAAACTGGGTTTCAATTAGGATGTTGAGCCGCCATCAAAAAGAAGGCGACTCAATTTGTATGCTCGGTGATGGTTCTAACTTCACTTACATTCGTCCAACTTGTTAGAATAAGCTCATCAACCAAACCAAACATGTCAGATTAGACAACCTCAGAATTGCCTTTCCTTGGGGGGTAAACGTTAATGACTCTAGACTAAAAGGTTAGGACAAATGGCTTCGTAACTTGATTTTCATGCTTATAAGCTCATATCTCATGCCATACTTGCTTAAGGACTTACGCAGTCTCAGTCAAGGCTTTCTCTTGGGTCATTAGGCCTTGAGTATCAGAAACTGAGATTAAATATATTTGACAACTCTGATTTAGGAACAGTATTGCATATAGATGCTAACACACACATAAACATAAACATACACTCGAGCAAAAGTAAGAAGACCAGTATGAAAGATAATTAACCAAATCGATCCATCTAGGTTTTTAATTTTCTTTTGACTCAATTGAGTCTATATAAGAGGTAAGATAGAAACGGATAGTGTTCTTGCCCTAGTGTACCACGTCCACGGTCCTACTCTGGAAATTATGAAGCATACAATGGACTCCGGACTAGGTGCATTCTTCTAAGTCTTCCTACCAATATGAACAAGTTGCGAAAACAAGGTCAAACAACTTCTATATAACGAAAGGAGACTGCGACCACAGAAAAGGCCACGCCATCTTGGTCTTCATACCTTTAAAGAAAAGCCAATGATGTGAATAAGATCAATGCTGCTCAGGTTAGTCTAATTTTCTCATTTATCCAAGAGCCTTCTCAGATTACGTAGGTATGCACCATCGAGCTTCTACAGCTCAATTCCCCTACCTGGTATAATAAACTAGCAGGCACATCTGGAGGAACTTCGGACATCAAAATAGCACATGAAATAAACCGGTTCGATCACCTTGACTTAAGTAAAGTTTCGAGTAATATGAGATGTACATTACCCTATTTCGTTTAAGGTGATGGAGGACTGTTAATAGAATTTTCCCACAATTATATGAGTAGAGCTGATGTTTCCAATGAATTTCACATTGCCTTGCTTCCACAAAAGTTGTTCTCATCCAGAGTGGACTGCAGTTTTGACCTCGCATCGGTCTTATCAACACCTCCAGCAGGAGTCGAACCGTGAAAATGCAGAATGTGAGCTTAACACGTTAAGCACTCGGCCACATCGCCATGAGTGCCCTTGGGTCACAGGGCAGATGTGAATTTCAAGGCCAGGCCTTTTGCCATATCATATTCAATATACTT